CATCTGGTACAACAAGGTGTAGATCAGAGATGGATTTGGAACACCACGGCAATTAGTAATCAGCCAGCAGGAGAGCACTGTAGAAGGGCAGGGAGTGTGCCCCACTGCCCACAGGAACCATCCTGATAAACCACAGCTGAGCACCACAATAAACACAGCTTTCAAAACAGAATTCCCAAATGAGGAGCTCAGACACCCTGTGGGCAGGAGCTTCCAGTCTGTGAGTGATCCCATCCCAGGGAGTGAAGGACACTCGTAAATCATAGAATCGTGGAATGGTTTGGGTTGGAAGGACTTTAAGGATCAACTGGTTCCAACCTGTGATGGTCAGGGGCACCTTCCACCACTCCAGGTGGCTCCAAGTCCCATCCAACCTGGCCTGGAACACTTCCAGGGATGGGGCAGACACAGTTGCTCTGGGAAACCTGTACCAGTGCCTCACCACCCTCACAGCCAACAATTCCTTCCCAATATTCCCACCTATCCCTGTCCTCTGGCAGTGGGAAACCATTCCCCCTAGTCCTGTCCCTCTGGGCCCTTGTCCCAAGTCCCTCTGCAGCTCTCTTGGAGCCTCTTGAAGCACTGGAAGAGGCTCTAAGGTCTCTCTGGAGCCTCCTCTTCTCCAGGATGAACAATCCTAACTCTCTCAGCCTCTCCTCCTAGCTCCATCCCTCTAATCCTCTCCATGGTCTCCTCTGGACTCTGTCCAGCAGCTCCACGTACTCTTGCTGTTGGTGCCCAGAGCTGGAGGCAGCACTGCAGGTGGGTCTCACCTGAGCAGGGCAGAGGTGAAGGAACTCCTCAGGAGACAATGGGATGTGGTGGAGCTCTGGTCTCCAACACATCAGCAGCCACACCACTGAGAACAAAATGGACTGTGCATGTGCTTTGTACAGAAATAACCTCAACTTTGCCATGGAGAGGCAAGAAAACGCCCTGAAATTGTGTTTTATTTCTTCATGTGCACCCAGAAAAACCACCCAGAATCCCTATCAGGAATTTATTCAACTCTTCCTCTTCCCACTAAATTTTGTTCTCTCTTTTGGACTGCTCAACCTGGAACAGAGAACAAAAGCTGCTCTGTGCCAGAACTCGGGATACAGTAAATCTCCTCAATTCCCTCCAGCTATAAGCAAAAATTCTAAAGCTTCATCATGGGAGTGATGGATTTGTAGGGACCCAGAGAATGTGTGTGCCCTGGCACATCCCTCACAGCCCAGATGGGGAACAACACAGTTCCAGGGGAACACCTGCCTCCTGCCATTACCTGCTCTGACTCACAAGGACACCTTCACCAAATGCTGTCTGGGATTGCCCAGGGCCATCTGGCACAGGCTCCAACAACATCTGCATCCAGATGTTGTCAGCAGCCTGTTCCTCAGCCTCAGCTGGGGAAACACCTGGCTGCAACTGCTGCTGACTCAGTGACTTCATGCCAATGGATTCCCTGAGCAAACACAAACTGGAACAGCAAGAGCTCCACTGAAAACAGGATTGCAACAAAACCCCAAACACTAACTCCACACAGCTTTCTCCAGGTATCCCGAAGAAATCTGAGCTCTAACCAGCCTGCAACACTTTGATCCCTTCACCCCGTCTCGTTGTGCAGGCACTGAATCATAGAATCATGGAATCTCAGACCACTTTGGGTTGGAAGGGGCATTAAGGATCATTCAGTACATGGCAAGGGACACCTTCCACTAGCCCAAGTTGCTCCAAGCTCCATCCAACCTGGCCTGGAACACTTCCAGGGATGGGACAGCCACAGCTTCTCTGGGCAACCTGTGCCAGTGCCTCACCACCCTCACAGGGATGAATTTCTTCCCAATATCTCACTCAAGTTCCCTCCCTTTAGTTTCAACCCATTATCCATTGTCCTATCACTACAGTCCCTGACGAAGAATGCCTTCCTGGTTTCCCTGCAGGCCCCCTCAGATACTGGAAGGAGGAATGTCAGTGGATGTCCAGTGAGTGAAACAACCACAAATACAGATCAGACTCTCATGTGCAGCTTCCTGTTCCTGCCCAAGAACCCAAAACGTAGCGAGAACTACTTAGCCCTGCCTTTAACTAAAGCATTTCCAGCTCATAACCTGTGTTTTTGCTCCACAGAGTCCCTCAGGACAAGAGACAGATGTGGGAAAAGCTCCTTAAGGATGGAAATCCCTAAATAAGCAAATGCAGGTGCTGCAGGAGGAAGGTCTGGGAGAGCCTGCCAGGAAATCAGGGTATGAATGAGACATTGTCCTGGCAATTCCCTCTACTTTAGGCACACAGAGCCAACTGCTCAGCAGTTAAGAATCTCCAGGACTGCGGAGAAACACATCTCCTTCAGCCCAGGAGAGCATCTGATGGTGGTTCAGCACTGCAGTGTGTAAACATCATCACAGGAGCTTATTCTGAAAATATTTGATCATTTGAATGCTGTTTTGAAATGATTTCACCCCATCTGCCCCGGCAGAGGTGTGCTGTTGGAACATACCCTCCATTGAGAGTGGGTGTGAGGCCAAAGAGGGTGCAGAGCCCCACAGACATGAGCAGGGAGCTGAGCACTGTCACCACTGCAGCCAGGGCCAGGCCCCACTTGGATTTCACCATGTCAATCTTCCCTGGAAAAGAGAGAGCACAGCTTGGGTTACCAGGGAAGAGCAAATGGCATTAGTACAAATGGAGAGGGGATCCCCATCCTGGCTGATTTGGGGAAGTGACTGAACACCCACACACAGAAGGGTGAGTAGGTCAGTGCTGGTGTCTGAAACGCAGCTCCTAGAGCCTCCCAGAACAAGGGTGGGGACCCAGGATAATGTCGGTTTCCAGCTCCAGCTAGTCCCTGAGGAGTGAAAAAAAGGAACTTAAATGTGGCCAGTGAGGTCTAAACCCCCCAGCTCAGAACATGTGTCTGATCTGTCTGACAATGAGTGAAATAAACTGGGAAAAAAGG